TAGCATAAGAACCTGTGAAGGGTGATTTTGTCATTTTTCCAAGTAAGCATGATTCACAACTATCATCTGACTTTAGGTCAAATGACTCCAAGACTCCATCCTTTTGGAGTTGGCCTATGCGTTTCTTGCTTACATGTCCAAGACGACAATGCCATAATGATGCTTTATCCAAGTTATTATCATTAGTAGAATCAATACACAACACATTATTTCCTAAATTATCTACAACAGACACAGCTTCATACACACCATCACAAGGTAATGCTTTAAAATAAAACACATTATTAAAGAAAGCATTTATTCCACCAACTTCATTATCAAAAGAAAAAGTAAACCCTTGTTTGTACAAAGCATGAAAGGAAATAACATTTCTTGCCATTTCAGGCAAATAACAACATTTATTCAAATCTAAAGTAAACCCACTACTTAGCAACAAAGTATAAACTCCAATCTTGGTGACAGGTGAAACTTTCCTATTCCCCATGATCAAGTTTATCTTTCCATGCTCCACATTCTCACTTCTTCTTAGTCCCTGCAAATCAGAACAAATATGAATACCACAGTCGGTATCAAGGACCCAAGAGTTAGAATAGGGTGAGTTATTAGATAATATAGTGTAAATACCTGCATGGTTGGGTTTCACTTTCCCATCCTTCAAATCTTGCTGGTACTTTGGGCAGTTCCGCTTCCAGTGCACCTTTTCATGGCAATAGAAGCATTCAAACCTCTTTTGGATCAGAAGGAGTGACAAAACCTTTCTTGGTTTCGCTTGAAGAGGAGCCATCAAGGGTCTTACCCTTGGTACCCTTCGAAGGGTTCTTCCTCTTTTTCCCTCTACCTTTCCCGATTGCCAGGACAGGTGCGGAGTTTGGAGTAGGAGTAGGAGTGGTAACAACCGACTTACCTTTAAGACCACTTTCGGCGGTCTTCAAGAGTCCTTGAAGTTTGCTGAGGGTGACTTCTTCCTTGTTCATGTGGTATGTCATGCGGAATTGATCATAACACGATGGTAAGGAGTGCAAAATGATATCTATTGCTAACTCCTCTGGGAAGTTCACATTCAGCTTCATCAAACGGTCTACATACCTTTACATTTTCTGCATGTGGCCCGTGATGGGTTCACCATCTTTCATTCGGGTTGTTATCATGGAGGAGATGATTTCATATAACTCTTGACGAGCACTCTGATGGTAGCGGTCCATCAAATCCTGGTGCATCTCAAAAGGATAGTAGTCCTCATAGGACTTTTGGAGCTCGGCTGTCATAGTGGCCATCATGATGCATGCCACTTTGGTACCATCTCTTTCATGTGCCTCATATTCAGCAAACTCCTCAGGAGTAGCAGTCGGCTCGGGTACCTTAAGCTCCTTGTCGAGAACATATTCTTTGTTCTCATACCGAGTGACCATCCTGATGTTCCTGATCCAATCTGTAAAGTTGGATCCATCAAAGATGACTCTCCCACAAAGGTTCATGAGAGAGAAGGAGTCGGTAGGGTTTGAGCCAGAAGCAGCATTGTTGGAAGACATCTGAAAAGAAGAAAAGACAAGTTTAGTTTAGATATAAAGATAGTCCTTAATAAAACACCCAAATGTAATATTAAGGCTAGGATCCAATCACAATATATTATAACTTAGAAGAGGGATGTCATAATCTAAGCTAAAACATATTTGAAAGGTAGGTGAATGACGATTCACCAATTTCCACCATGAAAACGAAATATATAAATTATTAGGTTTTATTTGGTTTTTAGAAACTCCTAGATTCTTTTGAGATTCATTGAACTTTTCAATGGCATGTTTCAATCTTGAGTGTGCCCTTCATGTTTTGTGACTGGGATACCGAGGATCACAAAACAAGGTGTGAAGTAACCATGCAAATTACTTGGTACCCTTAATGTTTTTCACTTAATCGATGTGCCGGTTAACCACACGCGCTCCACCGACCTATGAAAAACCTTAAGTCACCCTTTGCCTACCTTGTTAAGTCCAAGTTAGTGTGCCGGTTAACCACACACGCTCCACTAACGACTTAATCAAAGTGCAAAGTGTAATTTCATGGGTTAGCACCTTATTCACATTTTCCTAAAGTAACTAAGATTGGGAATTTATAAAACATTTAGTTACTTTATAATAATCATTATACTTTTAATGAGAATTTTAAGTCATTGTCTTACCCGTTCGGCTAATGACCCTCCATCAGTCAAGAAAGCGGTGGGTGAGAGTGGACACCCATTAAGCTGCCATTTTATAGGCAACAACCTTATACCCCCCTTATAGACCGGCTTCGTGAATGAGGCCTACTAACGGTAAAACGACTTTGATCTTATACATACATATATATATATATATATATATATTATTAACTTATAATATTATAAAGTATAAGGGTTGAATTTTAACTTTTAAAATCTAGGGGTTGGAACTAAAGTTTACTAGATGACTTTACATGTTCCAAAACTTGAGGGCAAGTTTTGTAACTTTACAAAACCTTTCAATTCATAACTTATGAGTTATTAAAATGAAGACTCTTCATTTTTGTAACTTATGTGTTCTTTTAATGGATTTAATACAAAGTGACTTTTGGTTATCCATAACTTGAGGACAAGTTATAGACTCCATTAAAACACATAAAGATCATGAATTCTGCATTAAACAAGTAATCCCTATGATCTATCAAGAACTCATAAGAACATGAATAATCATATCAAAATTTCAAGAACATATGAACACATATAATCATGTAATTTTGATATTAGCCATTGTAAATGGATTAGAACAATCATTACACCATCTAAAACAAGTTTTAAAACACCAAAACAGTTTAGGGTAATGTTTCTAGTCCATTTCCAGCATCAAAACTCGAAAAACTGCACTCAGGGGCTCCTACTCGTCGAGTGCAAGAACCTACTCGACGAGTAGGATGAGTTTACTCATGGACTCGTCAAGTCCCCCATGGACTCGGCGAGTTCATGCTTCATAATGCATAAAAACGAGTTTTTTGCACAATTTTGCATCAAGTATCCAACAAACAAGTCTAGTCTCTGATACCACTGATGAGTTTTGAGCATTCTAACACTCCTAAGTGTACATGCAAACCTAGAAAACCTTGGATCTATGTTTGTCTAAATTACATGCAAAATACTTTTTCCAAGGTTCATAATCCTATCTAGCATACATGGGGAACTTTAATCATAAAAGATGGCTAGAATTACATACCTTGTAGTTGATTTGATTCCTTGAAAACCTTGAGAGCCTAGCACCCCAAGTGTGATGCCTCAAATGTTTCACACAACACCAAATGCTCTTGGAATAAACTTTGAGAGAATTGTATAACACTTGAAATCGGCCTTGCCCTCTTGTCTCACTAGTGTAGCCGATTTTGGTTGCTATAGGTATGCTTATATAGTATGTTGCATTAGGGTTACACCATGTAAACCCTAATGTAACATGGCACTTCATTTCTATGACCCATGGGTTTGTAACTCCCATGGAGCATCCTATGGACCTTAGCCCAACTAGATAATCCATGGAGCATCTAGCCCACTATACAAGTATGGATGATTTACACAATCAACCCATATATTTAATTAGTCTCCTTTTTGATCACTTAATTAATTCTAGATTAATTCTTGATCAATACTAACTAAATAATATTATTAATATATTAGAACTTATAATATATTAATAAACCATAAGTGTTATTTCTCTCATTTTAGTCTATCCAATTGCATGACCCATGGCTAAGTTAGATCTATGCAAAGAATAATCAAGTTCATAACTTTATACCTCAAAATGGATCTTGAAGGTGAGGTGTTCCTGGAATTAGTAGGTCTTGATCTTCCAAGATGATGCTTCTTTCTTCACCTTGCTTCAAAAGCACCAAAAACACACACTTTTGAGCTCAAATGATCACAAACAAGGGATTAAGGTTGCCAAGGACGAAATGAAGGTTGGAGGATGGAGAAGGAATGAAGAATGAAGAGTTAATGATGCTTATATATGGACCAAACCCTAAAATTCGGGTTTGAAGTTTTCTTGCGTACACCTTGCGTACTAGGGTTCGCCCCATTACGCTCAGCGTACACACGTACGACCATCGTACTACCTATTTGTCCAAAATCACCAAAATGCCACCATGGGCCATTCTTGCAACCATTTTCAAGCCCAATGGTCAAAATGCAATATTCTTTCATACTTAGGGTTAAAATTGAAAATACCTCATCATCAGGATGTTACATATATATTAAGAGTTTTTGCATTGTATTATTACATTAGGGGTACTAATTGGTGACATATTACCAAAGAAGGTCATAAGTGGTTTGAGGTAACACGAGCGAAGCGAATATTCCCGACTTCACCTACCAATTTACATCTATGAACACAATCGTATTATGTGAACAACTTTAACAAGGTGGATGGTCGAATGTGAACAAAAAAGAAAATTGCCTAGATGTGAATAAAACCTATAGTTCATTATCCTCCTGGGTAACTATCTCTGCCACATATACGTCACATAGGCTATAACTTGCTATAGCCGATCATAATTATCATATGTGAACATTTCTAGTAAGTCCGTTGCCTACATATGTAAAAAAAGAAGTTACTCAAATGTGAACACTTTCAATAAGTTCATTACCCTAACAAGTCAATTTCCATATTCATTTTACATGTAGAATATTCATTTCTCTAAATAATTAAATGGATTTGACAATTTGTATATTTGTAGTGACAAAGAGGATTTAGAAGGGGTCGAGATATCACCTCTGGATATTGTAGGGACTAAAGTGAAAAATTGACATGGTATTCTGCCATTTAGGAAATTAAAGCCCCTCGGATATTATTGATGATATTTCCTTGAAAACTGCTGGATAAGCTTCTTGAACATCAGAAACGATTTCTCATCATCTGAAAGAGATGTGAAACTACAAAAACGAAGGAATTGGAAACGGATTCCGTATCATCAAGAAAACTAGATGCTTCTGTTAAGTTTCCAAGCTTATGGGACAAGGTAAGTTGTTTGCAGAAGTCTAATCTGGGTTGAAATTCTGTCTGGGTCTATGTTAATCTTTGAAATTTCATGGGAAATTTGAATGCGATGTCTGTAGAAATGGCAGCCTTTCCTGTTCTACTGAACAGTGGATCCTTGAGTAGTTCTGAAATGTCAAGGCTTCGTGTTATGCACACCAAGTGTTCGATGAAATGCAAAATCCCGTCTTATTCAGTGTCCAATTCATGCCACAGTTCACATTCATTTCCTTCAGTAAATTTTAAATCGCAAAAGAGATTGTCATGTATTAGGTCCTTGATTAACGAAAACGGAAACAAAGAAAACCATTCGAGGAACAGGGAGCCTAGTTTCTTCCGAAAGGGATTTAAGCTTAGACTACAACCAAGGTTGCGATTACTCTCTTCAAGATTGAAAAGGGTATCAATTCGTTCTATGTTAAACGACCTTGGAACTTACCTTCGCAAAAACATGAAAAAAGTAACTCTATCCACTTCGATTTCTGTTGTATTAGGGTTGTGTTATTTGTTCCTGAAGTTAACATCAATGCCAACTCCTAAAATCGTCCCATATTCAGACTTAATTACAAATATTCAAAGTGGATCTGTTATGAAAGTTCTATTTGAGGAAGGATCACGAAAAATATACTACAATACTGGCTCAAATGGAGTAGAAAACCCTCAAAATTCAGAAAATTCAGAAAATAAGAACACTGGAATAAACGATGATGATGAAAATTCTGTAAAGAAAGATGACATTACAAGTTCAAATGTGTTAAGAAAATTGACAAGGACAAAATCGTCATTACCCGAGTGGCAATACTCAACAAGAAAGATCGACCATGATGAGAGTTATCTTCTTGGATTGATGAGAGAGAAAGGGATTACATATAGTTCATCTCCACAATCAATGTTAATGTCAATGAGAAGTATCTTAATTACGATTATATCCCTTTGGATTCCCTTAACTCCATTGATGTGGCTTCTTTATCGCCAACTTTCTGCTGCTAATAGCCCTGCAAAAAAACGAAGGCCTAGCAATCAAGTAGTTAACTTTGAAGATGTTGAAGGTGTTGATACTGCAAAAGTAGAGCTTATGGAGGTACCCCTCTTTTTTTCTTTAATGTTATGATGTTTTTTTTTTTTAACTTTCTTTATTCTAAAGCCAAAAAGTAGCTGATAAGCTAAGCTTATTTAGGCTTTGTTTGGCGTACTAACTGTTAGTTGAAAAAATTGATGCTTGGTAAAAACTAGCTGATAAGCTGGCTGAAAGATATAAAATGACATAAAAGAACATTTAGAAAAACATTATTTTTATAATCAATTAAGAGCATATTTGGAAAATATTTAAAAAGCTACTGAAAAGCTAGTATAAGTAGCTTTTTTAAAAAGCTAACTTATAAGCTAGTTTTCAACTTGTCAAACATGACAACTTAAAAAAGTTCGAAAAATAAGCTAGCTGTGGCACGCAAGACAAAGCCTTAGACTAGCATTTGAGGAGCTATTATAAAATCTTCCGAATATACCCTTAATTAATTACAGAAAAAACATGATTCTTTTAAATGCTCTTATATGTCATTATATATCTTCCAACTAACTTATCAACTAGTTTCTTCAAAAAGGTTATTCTTCCAACAACTCCTAAGCTGGCCCACACTTCCATGCCAGTTTACCGCTTTACACTCAGCTTTATTGCTTGTAGCTGCTTTTTTTTCTTCAAAATTAAGGAAACTTACTAAGCATTAATGCTTATGTTTCTAGTTATATCTTGCAACTAGTTTTTACCAAACGTGATTTTTTGTAAGCTAGCAGCTACATTTTCATCTAACAGCTAGCTTTTCAGCTATCAGCTACCAACCAACGTTTCATTTGAACTAAGAATGGATGCTTATTATTTGTTGTTATAGATTGTGTTATGTCTTCAAGGTTCTATCAATTACAACAAACTAGGGGCAAAGTTACCTAGAGGAGTCCTGCTAGTGGGCCCACCGGGGACGGGGAAAACACTATTAGCGCGTGCAGTGGCGGGAGAAGCCGGGGTGCCATTTTTCACGGTGTCCGCGAGTGAATTTGTGGAGATGTTTGTTGGAAGAGGTGCAGCGCGTATTAGAGACCTTTTTAATGTTGCAAGAAAGAATTCACCTTCCATTATCTTCATTGATGAACTTGATGCCGTTGGGGGAAAACGTGGTAGAAGCTTTAATGATGAAAGAGATCAAACCCTAAATCAAGTAACTTCCAGCTTTCCATAAAAGTTTTTTTAGGGAAATTGTCAGAAAAATCCCAATATTTTCGGAAAAGTTACATTTTAGTCCCAAATTTTATATTTTGAACATAAAAGTCCCGATTATTTGATTTTACACGATAATATGTTATTTCCTATTAAAAGAAAAAAAAAGGATTTTTATGTTAATTTGAGCCAAAATGAAATAATCGAGACTTTTATGTTCAAAAAATAAAATTTGGAACTAAAGTGTAACTTTTCCAAAAATATTGGGACTTTTCTGACAATTTCCCCATTTTTTATGCATTTCTTGTGAGTAAAAGGTTTTTTTTTTTTTTATTATTTTTTTTTTATTATTATTTTTTTATTTGATCATGAAATTGCAATATGACCCATTTTCACTTGGGGTAAGTTACAAAAAATCATATTTTGGGCAATTTTTGTTGTTTCACCACTTATACTTTATTCATTTTAGGGTTAATCTTATAAAAGACCTTATATTTTGTGTTTTTTCCGGATTAAACCGCATCTTTATTTTTTTCATGAAAAAGACCTTATATTTTTTCATTTTTACGAAAAAAACCCTCAACTTTGTCTTTTTTTTAAAAAAAAAAAAAACCCTTAAGCTTCTAAATGTTTCCAAATAAATCCACAACTTTTTTAGTTTTTCCTAAAAAAACCCTCACATTTTACTACTTTTTATTTAGAAAAATGACTGAAATGGCCAGATCGGAAAAAATGAAAAAATGCAAGGTTTTTTTCATGAAAAAAATAAAGTTAAGGTTTAATACAGAAAAAACACAAAATATAAGGTCTTTTTATGAGATTAACCCTTCATTTTAAACAAACAATAAAAGTTTCAAGAAAATTTTCCAAATTAACCTTCTGCCCTGATTAAACAATATTTCAAAATTGTTATTTTGGAAAATTACAGGTTTATAACAAAATAACAAAATTAGTGGTCAAACCTGATATAACATATAAAATATAACACGTCAAAATGACCAAAAACTTTTATGCTTTGAGTGGAAAAAATAAAGTATCAATCATTAAAAACCGCAAAACCTACCAAAAATCTAATCCTTTTTTTCTAACTTACCCTTTTATTTATGTAATTTTTGATGTCACAAAATCTTTTATATATAACTTATTTAACGTTCAACGAGTCTTTATCACGTTTTTTTTACAATGTCATGTCACCCCAAACTTAAAGCCTATGGATGAGTCCTTTTTTTCCTTTTTTTTTTTTTTTTTTTTTTTTTTTTTTTTTTTACTTTCGTAAATCAAAATTCGTTAACTAATAACTACAATCAAAATCATAGCGTTAAAATTACATATTTCATTACTACAAACCAACCAACGTAAGAACTCATTCCATTCCACTCCTTCTGTCATTCCATTCCATTCCATTCTATCCAACCGGACAGATATGTTTATAATTTTTTTGTTGACTTTAGTTAGTATTTTGTTTTGTTGTGTTTTTAGCTATTGACAGAAATGGATGGATTTGAGTCGGATGTGAATGTGATTGTGATAGCAGCAACAAATAGGCCCGAAGCATTGGACCCGGCCCTTTGTAGGCCCGGTAGATTTTCAAGAAAAGTGTTTGTTGGAGAGCCAGATGAAATTGGAAGAAGAAAAATCTTATCTGTTCATTTAAGAGGAATCCCTCTTGAAGAAGATTCCACCATTATATGCAACCTTGTTGCTTCTCTCACTCAAGGCTTTGTTGGCGCTGACCTCGCAAATATCGTTAATGAAGCTGCTTTACTCGCTGCTCGACGAGGTTTTTTTTTTCCAAATCCAAATCTTTTTTAATTTTTTTTTAATTAAAAATTAGTCTTGAATATGTCATTATATCTGTCTGTCTGGATAAAGTGTTGTATACATAAGGTCTGTTTATGAATGAGAATACGGCTATGTTTGGCGCGCCATAGCTAACTTATTTTTCGAGCTTTTTTATGTTGTCATGTTTGGCAAGTCAAAAAGTAGCTTATAAGCTAGCTTTCTAAAAAGCTATTTGGATTAGCTTTTCAGGAGCTTTTTTAAAAATTTCCAAATATACCCTTCATTAATTATAAAAACTGATTATCCTAAATGTCGTTTTATGTTATTTTATATCTTTCAGTTAGCTTATCAACTAGTTTTTATCAAACATCATTTTTTATCAGCTAGCTTATAAAAAAAAGCTAGCTGAAAAGCTAGCTGATAAAAAAGGACGTTTGATAAAAACTAGCTGATAAGCTAACTGAAAGATATAAAATGACATAAAAGGACATTTAGGATAATCAATTTTTATAATTAATTAAGGGTATATTTGGAAAAATTTTAAAAAAGTTCCTGAAAAGCTAATTTAAGTAGCTTTTTTAAAAAGCTAGCTTATATGCTACTTTTTGGTTTGCCAAACATGACAACTTAAAAAAGCTAGAAAAATAAGTTAGCTTATCAGCTAGCTGTGACATGCCAAACACAACACAAATGACCATTTTACATACTGAAAAACAAATTTCACAATATAAATCAATTGTATCGTAAGAAGGGCAAATAGGTAAAAAGTTAGTGTTTATAACGAGTAATACATTAAAGGAGGATTTTTGGCTTAACATGTTAAGTCATTTTGTTTAGATTAAGTGTTTAACTCATTAAGCCTATTAAGTGAATAAGAAACGACCTTGAACTTTAATATGTTCAAAATTATGTTATTGAAATGCATGATGAATTTAAAGTACACTGACTTGACAGTTGTCAATAACATAAGTTTTAAAGATATTAAAGCTGTGTGACACATTGAATGAGTTGTTGTCAATTACATGTGACTTGTTGTTTCTAAGTCTAATTATTATGCCTAATAATAAATAAAGTTAAAACATATCGGATAAGGGTATAATAGTCATTTTACAACAATTAGGGACAAATTCTTCCAAGGATGGAACAGACTAGGGGTAGAATTGTGAAAGAGTAAAAAATTGTGTCATACGAATATGCCTGTGAACTGTTGCTTCTTGATATAATGTGATTGTAAAATGACCATTTTGCCCTTTTTGTGGTTTTTACTAGGTGGGGAATGTGTGGCAAGGGAAGATATAATGGAAGCTATTGAAAGGGCAAAGTTTGGAATAAATGAAAGACAAATAAGCCCTTCTAACTTAACCAAAGAAATTGGAAAGATTTTTCCATGGATGCCCTCATTTAAGTCGAGGACTGATGGGTCTTCTTCTCTTGGTGGTTACCAAACACTAAGCTGATTGAGGGTATTCTTGTCATTTCACAAAGAAGTAGGTTTCATATTGACTTTCATGGTCACACTTTTATTTTTTATCAACATAGAAAGCATCTTGTCTTTTTGGGGATATCAAGTTACATGTGATATGTTATGTTAAACATTTATGATTAAGAGGATATGTGGATGTGGGTATTTGTTTTTGAAATTATTATTGTAATTTTAATAATTTGAATATTAATATATTTAGATAATCATATAAACACAATTTGGACTGAAAATAATAATTATTAGAGTGCTTCACAACTATTCTCACACTATTGAAAGTGAGATTTTTGTCGTAGGAAAAATACGAGTTCCAAATTGAGAGTTTAGAATGCAAGTGGATACACTTACTAAATGAATCTTGGCATAAAACAATTAATTTTTTTTTAATTTAACCAAATCTTTTTTTAGCATAATATGGTTCCAAATTAGGGATGTTATTCGGAACCTGAATAAACCGAAAACTGAATAAGACTATTTGGAGGAATCGAAAACCATACCGATTAAACAAATACGGGTTCAGTTAAGCTATCAATCGGCCCAGTTCGGTTATTACTTAAATAAACCAAATAACATTTACAATATAATTAAGGACCGAATGGTACTAAAAAGAATGGAATAAACCGGATAACATTTACAATAATCAAAGGAAGTCAAATTATTTAAATCAAATGTGGATCAATTGATCCAACCATAGCTCTACAAATATTGAAATCTTTTTCTACTGGGGACAAAACATCTCGAACATATGTAGGATGTATTACAATAAAGTAAATGTTAGTTTAAAAAAACAGCTTTAATACCATTTGTTTAGGAGCCTGTATTTCATTGAATATACAACAAAAAAAATGCAAAACTATGTAAATAGTAGTTTAAATTGTTAGCTACAAGTTGGAAAAAAAATCAGGTAAATCAAACAAATAACGAAGACGATATGACATTTCAAAGTTGCCATAAAATTCTGCAAACATGTTGAAACAGAAAACTCAGCTTCAATACCTCATGTTTAGGAGTTTGTATCTCATTGACTATATAACTAAAAAATGCATGTAAACTATATAAACAGTAGTTGAAAAAAAAACCCGGGAAAATCGGACAAATAACAAAGACACTATGACAGTTCGAAGTTGCACTAAAATTTATGATTTTTCAATTTTCAGTTCGGCCCTTTAGGCTTGATTAAGACATCATTTGGGTAACCCAAATAACCCGAGAACCGAATAAGCCTAAAATACATATCTGAAAACCGACCTGTATAACTTATTCGGTCCTAATTCGGTTTCTGGTTTTCGGTCCAAACGCTCATCCCTATTCCAAATATTGTGTCATGTATTTGAATATATAGTATCTTTGGTGAAAATAACTGATAACCGAAAACTGAAAGGAAACTGAAAGTTATATCTTTATTTCTGTAAAAACATTTGACAAAAAGTAGAAAAATGAAATATTTTAAAATGTTTGAAGTAGTTTTTTAGATTATAATTTTTATTTGCTTAAAACGAACTTTAAATTCGAATACCAAACATTTTCTTTTTTGAATTCGATTTTTTTATTAAAAGACAAAATCGTGATTTTAAATAATAGCTTTAAACTGGTCAAGCACACACTCATAATCTTAGATGACTTTTAGATTGAACTATTTACATTCAACCGTTACATAGAAGAATACAAGATGATATAAAGTTAAATAAATATAATAAATATAATAGTTGTTTAACTTTGGGTTGATTTTTCTAACTCTTCTGAAAATTCAGTAGAAAAGATATTTTCAATTTAATAAATATTAAAGGTACTAATACTAACGCTTAACAGTTCATTCTTCCGTCTTTCGAAACACCAGTTGTAATAAAACAATAATATCATGGATTGTGGAATCATGGTATCACGTGGGATCTAATAAGCCTTGGAATTTTCTTAATTTATTGTTTGACGATATGTCCCATCTTTATATATTTGTATACTTATCTCGACAAAACTAGCCTACATTTAGTTATTATAATTATATAAATGTCGCTTTATTAAAGTCTAACGTAGTGTTTGTTTTTTGTCTGCAGATCTGTGTGGCCTCTTCTGTCTGCACCGCGCAGACCACGTGCATACATTAGCCTTCGCAGACTGTTTGTTTTTTTGAAGACTGCAGACCTAAAAATGTCTGCGCGCCCTCTTCTTGGCGCAGATGTGGACCAGAGTCTTCTAACATCTTTAGACATCTTCTAGCCTAAAAAAACATATATATCTTTATTTTTTTTAAGTTTTTTTTTAATTTATATTTTTTCCAACTTTATTAATGATAAACAATTTGAAAAAAAAATTACAAAACTTTAAAAATAACATTCGACGATACAAACATGATATTTTTGACAAATTTATAAATAAAGATTTATTACAATAATAGTCGTTGAAGTTGTTTATATAAATATGAAAAAAAAAATCATAATATATTCTTATATTTTTTGCCAAATTTTGTAAAACATTATTTAATACAGTATCGTCAATTTCTCGAGAAAATATTTATGGTACGTTTTTAATGGATTTAATTGAAAAAATCGAAGTTTATTTCCATCAATTTATGTATCAAATTCTTTGATCACTAATTATAATGTTTAGTTATAACTTTGCAACCAAAGTTGTTGGTTTTTATCAAATATATATGTTAATTCATACCATTTTTATTTTTATCTTTTATACAATAATACATAAAAGTTGATCTAGATTCATTAATTATTTGTAATAAAGTCATAAAAATATTAAAAAATCACTTTGAAGTTTAAAAAAATCAGTTTATTTAGATTTCAGTTTATTTTGTAGCCCGCAGATGTTAAAAAAACAAACAGTCTTCTTTTTTCAGACTGCAGACGTTTGATCCACCTCTTCTACTACAGAGGTCTACAGATGTGGTCCGCAGACTGCAGACATTTTGCCTCAGAAAAAACAAACAACACCTAATTCATCGTAACGACCAATATAACTTTCAAACTTTTTTAAAATATTGTACATGATTATTATTATTATTATAGATATAGACGTGTTACGTCGTATATTAGATTCTTATCAAACATCAATGGAAGAAGAAATTTGTAGGAGCAATTTTTTCGATTATTATAGATCGGGTTTGTTGTTAAACATTTTTATGTTTTTGTATGGGAAAAGTTATAGAAAATTCAACCTCTTATTTTTTAATGCTAAAAAAACCATTATTATTATTTTATGGAATAAAATCATTTTATGTTTTGATTATGTCCGATGCACGTCTGATCCGATTTTTGATCAGAATTCAGAAACGACTCAATAAGCAAATTTATAAATTTCATATTTTTTTTGGAAAAAGAAAACAAAAATGAAATTTCATATTTTTAGTAGGCATATTATGCATTAAAAATTATACATTTTTTGAATTTGAAAATGAAAGATTTTTTAAAATACAAGCTAAGACACATATAAGATGGAATTAAACTAATTTAATATTGGGTCAATTAATACAAAAAAATATTTTCTTAATAGAATTTTATATTACAATATATACACATGAAAAAGAAATTAGATGTTAACATTGAATATTGACAAAATTCATTAGCTCAATTCACGCTGCAAAAAAACATATTGATTTATAAACCTCTAACAAAACATCTATCAATAGCTATTGAGCTATTGGAGGATATATTAGGTTATAAATTGACATTCAATTTTCATATAAGATTAAAAACGACGTTAATAGTTGATGGAGGCTCAAGCCCTTGATTTGGAGGAGCCTTGTCCGATGGATGAAGTTCAGCAGGTAGTGTGGTGTTGTGGTTGTGAAAAGGATCCAAGTCCTGATGGATTAAATTTTCTGTTTAATAAACGCTACTAGGATTTAGTGAAAGCTGATATTTTTGAATTTATGAATGAAATTTTTGTTAATTCAAGTATTTTGTCCGGGTGTAACTCATCATTCATTACTTTAATTGCTAATATTGGCAGCCCAATGGTGATTAGTAATTTTCGTCCTATAAGTCTTATCTGAATTCTATATAAGATTTTTGTAAGATTTTAGCTTTGAGGATAACTTATATCATTGATTCGGTGGCTAGTATGGAGTAAACGATGTTTATGAAGGATCGTCAAATTTTAGATGGTCTGTTAATGGTGAATGGTGCAAAAAGAAAAGGAAAAAATGATGTTGCCTAAATTGATTTTGAAAAGCCTTATGACTCAATAAGTTGGGACTTTTGGATCGCATGGTGTTTTTCTTGAAGTCTGGATCAAAATGGCGATCATGGATTCATGCTTGTTTGGTGTCGGCTAGAGCTTTGGTGCTAGTAAAGCGTAGTCCTACGGAGGAGCTCCAGTTGTAGAGAGGGCTTAGGCAAGGAGAACCATGATCTCTTTTCCTTTTTATCTTAGTTATCGAGGGGTTACACGTTGCCATTGAAGATGCAGTTTGTTTTGGTTGAAAAATGATCAAGGGAATATCAACCAAATTGTATGAGAGGTTGTGGTGCTGCAAACGATATGAATATGAAAATTAAGTGAAAGTGACACAAGTGATCTTTACAAGGAAATCCCTTGATCCTTTCTAGGATCTCCGACACAAAACCTTGGGAGGTGATAATAATCATATGCCTTGTTTAATCTTATTAATCGCAATGTAAATTACAAAAATGTGTTTGAAAGTATCAGTACCAGTGATTCAGTAGCTCTCAGTGTGTGTTTGTGTGATCTATACATGTTGATTTATAGCCTATGTTGAATAACTAAGTGTTCGATATTCTCGAGATCTGTTGAACAAGCTTTTGCACCTTGCCTTTGTTAGGGGCAGGATCCTAGAATCGTATTCAGGATCCTTAATATTCCTAAAGCCTCAAGATCCTTAAACATATCTCAGGATCCTAACTATTATCACTAATATTTCTTAACACTTATAACAATATTCTTCTTTCTTTTTTCTCACATGTGCAAAATTAGTCAATACAAGACTCATTCTCAACGTAGAACTACTTCAACCAAGCTTAAGACCCGAGAATACCAAGTCAAACAACGTGCAAATACTTTTTCAAGGAAGATCCCGAAAATCTCGGACTTCTTGTTGATTAGATTAGACTATAAATAAACACCTATAAATCGCACACAACACACACAATTAGCTCAACCATTACAACTGTACTTGTATTA